ACCAGCCATCGCCGGGATTCGAACCCGGTTAATCTCATTAGGAGGCAACTGCTCTATTCCCTGAGCCACCACGGTTAAAAAATGCGCAATTAAAAGATATAACTTGGTTAAAATTATAAAAAAATGCATACATAACTTTTTTTTTTTCTTTTTTTTTAAAAAATAACTAGGGCACTCCATCTCCTGTTCGCTCCACTGGCCAACCACCGTCATTGATTCTCATTCATCATTATTTCTTATTTCTTAAACGTCAATATTTTCCACAAAAACGCATGACATTTTGGTTTCAAAATCTATAATTATTGTAGCTTTATGTGAGATAATTTTGTTGATGTACTAATGGTAATGAAATAAACAATTTCCTAGATTCGAAAAATAATCATCTGTACTTGCAAAAGCAAATAACATAAGGAATCTGCTCTTGTGAAATTCAATACGAGGAAATAAATAAGAAGTGATTTTACTCGTTGAAGAGAATTATAACAGTCCAAATATTTCCTATTTTCCTATATAAACAATTTTTTTTATCGTTATTCATTACATTTTATAAAATATCGCAATGAATGTTAAGATTTCTATCTGGCAACATGCAATCTCTCTCCTATTCCTTGCGATTTTCGCCTGATTAACGTCTAATCGAACGTGAGCTTATAAAATAAAAATAATAATTTTAATAAATTATTTAAATAATTTTAATAAAAATTATTGTAAAATAAATAATTAATTTTTGAACCAACAATCTAATTGTTATTATTTTATAGTATTCAATTTCTTGTACATTTTTCTATAAACTGTAATTAAAATTTTTCAGAACCTATTTATTTTGAGTAACAAAGCAAAATGCAAAGTAAAACAAAAAAAGTGAGAAAAAAATTGCAAAAAAAAAAAATTAAAATAGCATTAATTTTTGAATAAATTAAATTTTCAAAAAAAAAATCTGCTTTCAACATTCCTGCGGGCTGGCCCGAGGATCGGCACATATGGAATTTAACCGATAATAATTCTAGATCAAATTATAGAATGTTAATTTTTTTATTCCATCATAATTCCTGCACATTCTTTTGACTTTAAATTTCAAAATTGTATAGTTTTTACGCAGCAAAAAGAAAAAAGAAATGCAACGTTAAGTTGAACACCCAAAACAGCAGCGCAATCGGCGGCCATTACGACTTTTTATATAAAGAGAAAAATGGATCTGTACCTTTTTCCATTGTGAAAATTGCTCGTTATCTGACAATTATTAACAATTGAACCGGAGCCGTGGTGGCTCAGGGGATCAAGCGTTCGCCTTCCAATGAGGTGAAATGGGTTTGTATCCCAGAAGTTGGCTCGTCGATGCGAATTCCGCAACCGGCTGGCACCGACCGCAGTACTGAAGTAAAATATTCACAGTCGTGGACTGATAATATATTTGAATCCCCTTGTAGTCAAACTAACCATGGGAGGTTTTCGAGGTTTTTCTCTCCCTATAACGCAAATGCGGGTTAATTCCCTCAAGTCCTCCACGAAGACAAATTTATCCCCAATACTTGATCCAGGAGTTCCCTTGTCTTCTGGATCGGATTCAAAATTACAAGGCTACGAAGTTGAACATTGGTAGTCGTACGTAAACTCAAAATCGGATCGGTTGTTCAACGACGTTATAAAATAAAATTATTAACAGTTTTAGCACTGCTTTTGTGCAGGAAAGGGACTATGGTCGTAACTTCTGCCTTATGTTACAGCGTATATTAAACTTAGCACTAACATATTTAAATCTTATTTGTTGGTGAATAAAAGCATTCATCTTATCTCGTATTTAGCTAATTATCGACAAATAATAATTTTCGATACAGTAAGAAATCACTTTAAGACTATAAATGCAAAACATATTTTTTTTAGTAGGCAGTTATGGCGTAACAAATAATGACGTAACAAATTTATAGGTGCTGCAAATTTCATTCCTTAAATCGGGACTTGTAGTAAATTCGGCTCGAGTTGATGATCTCAAATATGCTAATTAATAAGTGCAGACGATATTTTAAGTTACGAAATTGGACACAATAACGTACTTTCTCTGAAAAAAACAAGCCTTTTTTTAGATGGATCCGAATTTTTGACCCCCAAAATATACAGGATAGCAATCTGGGAATTATGGTTCCAATAGGTCAGGAGATATGGTTCCAATAGGATCAGGAGAGCATTCCAAATTTTGGATACCTGAATATTAATTTTAGTTTTTGCGTATTTCGCTAAATCCCGAGAGCTTTTTAAGCGAATTAAAAAAAATTTACACGCAATTAAGAAAATTGGTTATCCAAAAATAATTCCATGTANAATTTTTGACCCCCAAAATATACAGGATATGGTTCCAATATGGTCAGGAGAGCATTCCAAATTTTGGATACCTGAATATTAATTTTAGTTTTTGCGTATTTCGCTAAATCCCGAGAGCTTTTTAAGCGAATTAAAAAAAATTTACACGCAATTAAGAAAATTGGTTATCCAAAAATAATTCCATGTAAAAAATAAATTTTAGCAAATATTAATTATTTTTCATTTATTATCATATCTTATTTTATTTAATAATTGCTGAGAAAACTTTGAATTGTAAGGTATAGAATTTTTTACATCATATTAAAGAATGTAATTTTACGGTAGCAAAATGCAAAATTTGGGCAAAAAAAATTGTAAAAAAAAATTTGCCAAAATTTTGCCACGAAAAATTAAATTTTTTAAAATTTTGTAAAAAATTGTATACCTTACAATTCAAAACTTTTTCGATCATTATTGTTTAAAATAATAAAAAATAATAAAGTTTTACTAAAAGTTAGCTAAACGAATTTTATAATTGTGTGCAAAAATTTTTAAACTAGCTTAACCGCTCTCCTGACTATTGCGACCATATTTACCGAATTGCGACAACCCCCTATATTTTGGGGTTCAAAAATCCGACTCCGTTTTTTTCTTTTTTTTTCTTTTTGCTGCATTGTACAGCCTATCATCACATGAGACAATATAGTTATTTAAATTTATTTCTGTCTGATTCAGACGCGTGCGGTCGAGATGGATACGAAATCATTTGAGAAGCATTATTATATATTCCTAACTAAATTAAATAAAAAAAAATTTCAACTGCTGAAAAAAAAATTTTTTTTTCAGGGAATATAATTAATTCATTAAACAGGGATTTTTGTCTTCTTTTAATCGGAGAAAATGAAAAAAAACTATATTACGAAATTTAGTAAATACAGGTTCGTTAATTCGTTTCCCGATTATATATTTGTAAATTTGTAATGCTGCTAAGAAAATAATTTCTTATGGAAAGTAAATATTCTTATAATAGATTCAGCAATATATTGAAATCAAATCCTTCAGATACAGATAATGGCATCATGTTAATTCGTATTTAATGCATCAAAAAGTTCTCATACATGAGGAAATAAAAAATAAATAAATTTATCTCTCTATTTTTTTAAGTATGTGTACTTAAAAATTCCAATTTTTATATAATCTTCAAGAAAATTTTTCAATAATATAATCACTGACCTTTTAGTGCTGATCTATATTGGCTATGTGCAAGCGTTAATGTTCGTCTAAGTAACCTTTTAATTTTGAACCTGATACAGGAGACAAATATCAGTTCAAATTCACCTTTGCGGAAAACCTTTTCAGGAAAACTTAGTCGTGCATAGTTAGCTCGACTATAACCATAATTCTATGTCTAATATGCTACTATACTATTTAATGCAGTATATAAATCAACCAACTATCATCCAAGAGTCGAACTTGAGTTAATTCGACAGAAGTAAGTAATAAAAATCAATTTTAACTGCAGAAGTCTGATGTTCTCAAAGCAACATTTGAAAAAAGAACTTATATTTAAATTATAATTGCTCTCAATCCCCAATCAGTGTTTATCGAAGTCAAATGTGTTTCGTATACAAAACCGAATTGATTACGAAACTTTATGGACAAAATTAAACACAATTGTCAAATTTGAACACTTCAGATGTTGTAGTTCAGCCTTTTTAAAACTCAAGTTAAGTGATTTCTTGACAACAAGTCATGTTCAACAAGTGATTTCAGGATTAAATTTTCAGTTCTTGGCACACATTAAGCGCAATTTTTGCTGCAGAAAAAATTCATTTTTTTGTTTTAATAATTTTAAAAAGCAAAACAAATGTCAACAAATCTGCGAATTTCATGAATGATATTTTTTTTTTTGTGAACAAAAATAGTAATGGTCTTTTTGATCTTAAAAAAAAAATAATAATAAATAAATCAAATAATAGCGATAATTTTTACTAAATAATGTGAGGAAAGCATTGGATAGTATTGCGTTTTAGTATTCTCCGTTTCATTTATTAAAAAAAAAATTTAGAAATGCAATCAAAATATATTTATCTTTATTATTGCTACTTTTAATTGCAACAGTCCTTGATCCTAATCTGTACAGCAACAGGTTATGCCATATAAAACACAAAACTCGTTTCTGTTCAACAAAAAGTCACTTCAGTTTGCTTATCTTGAAATTTTTTTTTTTATTTTTTAAAATCTGCAATTCAATATGAAATTTTACACCCCGAGCAGGCGTAATATAAAAATTCAAGCTTCTTGAAATACGATAAACTAATGGTTCATTTTAAAAGGACGGTCGATTAAAAAGCTTTTAATAGCAGCATCTCGATAACTTTCGTTTTGTAGTGAAGTGCCTCTTACAAGCCTCTCCTTCAAGTACCTGGAAGGCGATCACTCATTCATTGACTTTGTCTGCGAGGATTACAATTTCTGGTCAACCCCTTTAGCTGGTTAAACTAAAATAGTCCTCATTCCGCTCTCGGATCCTTGGGAGGTGCTACAACGCGTGCTCTGCTTCTATTGATCAAGAGTACTCTGACAGACCACGCCAATAGGAGAGCGTCTCCCGACTCAATCTCTTATTGGTTCGTTTGAGTCAAGTGGACTCCACCTCCTTTCCCGAACACCCTGGGAGCCTCATCGTCCTTTTTATTGCTCATCATCCGTTTCTCTTTCTATTCTTCATCATTGCTCAGACTCACTCGTCTCCCACCCACTAGAAATTAGATTGATAAATCCGATTCCCAGAGCCGAAGACATCTGCAAAGAGATATCGTTTTGGAGGAAAACGATTTTTGATTTTAGATGGTGCTGGACGATGTGTAATATTGCGCATGCGCCCTCCTCCGAACGTCAACGACTCGCCAAGAGCCCCATTGGTCCTGCCAACGCTGTTGTTCAGCCTCTCCCCACACCCCCTCCATCAACCCCTCTAATCTAGACACCCCCTCTTTTCCACTTCCATGGGCTATCGTAGCACGCACTCACACATACGAGTAGACCAATACAAGTAGCAGCTCTAAACAGTCCGGATCTCTGAGACCGTCCGGATTTCTAGACATTCGAGTAGATAGTACTTGGGGGGAGGTTGTTTGACCGCCGCCGGACTTTGTTGCGAAAAGGGTCCTTGAGGAACTCCCTGGGACGAGGGGTCTCTCCTTAGTGAGGGGTCTCTTGGTGAAGCTCTGGCGTTGTGGAAGCAATGTCACTGAGTCCTAAACATTCTACACCGTTTTCCGTGACCGATATCCTAAGCCCACTCGAAGAAAGCTACAAGAAGGCAATCGCAGCAGTTGCTGCAGAGAATTCCGGACTAGGTTCAACGTACAGGAGTCCCCAGACTCAAGCAGCCATGAACGTACCCGTGACCAATCCTTACATGCATATGTCCCAGCTCTCTCACCCTAACACTTTCCCCACCCAGTACTGTAACGGAACGGACATCTCTGCCCACTACGGTGACGTCCGGCAATCTGCACCAGGATGGTACAGCACCACTCCAGATCCCCGTTTTGCAAGTAAGTGAAAATAATTCAGTATAACTGTAAACTTTCCTTCTTTCTTAAAATTGCTTTTCAACAGTTGTAAAATATTTTTAGTTATAAATCAGAAATGTCACGAATTTGAATACTGCTCTTAAATTCCTTTTGGAAAAGCGTTAGCTCCGAATTGAAAGTGAAAACTGTTTTAGAAATTGATTAAAAATTTAACTTTCAAACAAATAAATGGAACTCTCCCTCCTTTCTCAATTATGCTTGAGATGCAATAAGCTCAGCTAATTTAGTGCAATAAGCTCAATTATGCTTATTGCACTAAATGCGAAATATTCCTAACTACAGTATAATTACTATTTGATAACATAGTATTGCCATTATCAGCTGAAGATGTAGTTTACTTAACTGTAGTTAATAGGCATTACATTAAAAAAAGTGCAATATATAGGCTATACAACTGTTAATACATAGGATATACAACTGAAAATAACAGCATTTAGACAATTCATTTTAAATTATTGACCTCTGGTTTTAATTAATGAAAAAGACAAGTTTTGATATTCATGAGTAAACCGAAACTATTACAATTGCACCAAATGTTATTAAAATATAATATCTGTACCATTTAAATATTCGATATTCAAATATTCTACTTGTTTATACTTCATAACATCGTTTTTGACATTCATGACATCGTTAACATTTTACATTCTTTTCAAAAAATATATATATGTAAAAATATATGTATGTAAATATATGTATTCTTTTCAAAAAAATATAACGTTCCCAAACAAATTTTACTTTATAAAACTAGCAATTGCTACAACCGAAAAATACATTTTTTGAATGAACAGTAAAATGTCATCGTTGGCCGTAGTTATTTTACGGCATAAATTTATATTAATTTCTTAACTTGTATAGATAAGATGTTGTGAAACAATGCAAACACTTATTTTTTGACACTATTTTATAGTTGGAATAATTATTTGTCAACAAATCTATCCATGTAGGATAGTCTATCTATGTCAACAAATCTATCTATGTAGGGTAGGAATGTAGGATAGTAAATGGAAATGATTTCATAATTTCTTCATTTTAATAAAAACATCATTTGTTGCATTACCTTATTGATATAAAGTATTTTTATGTGCTTTTTATAATCAAAATAGTAAGAAGTTATTTAATTTAAAATTAAAAATAAATTTCAAATACGTATAATGGAAAAATGGTCGAAATAGAAATTAAATATTTTGAAATTTCCTTATAATAGTGTATTGATTATTGCTTATCGACATTCGATAAGTTATAACTGTTATGAGTTATGTTTTCGGAGACTTTATCTTTCAATTTCTATTGTTAAATAATTCTTTCACATCATATCTTATTTCACCTCTCAATTAATTAAACTAAACTCAATTATTAATTAATTAAACTTGACAGCCCATGAAGAACCAAGTCCTGCTGTGCATATTCCAATTGCTCCAATTTCTCGCTCACTGGGGTGAATAAGCTGGTCTACGGGTTGGTCAGCTAGCGAGAAACCCCCTGTGCTTAATCCCATAGCATGCCAGTATCGACCCCACTAAAGGGTGGTGTTAACCTTGCCCGGTAAGAGGATTGAACATCAGAACTACCCCTCGGCCATCAGGTGTTTCACAATAACTGATGTGAGTCGTAGTGGCTCATGGGATAGAGCTCTCGCCTTAAAATGAAGTGACAGGGTTCGAATCCCAGTTGATACAAATTCCGCATCTGTCATCGACCACAGTGTTGACGTTAAATATAATCAGTGGCAGATGGTTAATGGGTTAGAGTCCCCTTGCCATCAGACTTAGTGGTTTCAGTGGTTTTCCTCTCCATCAAAAGTTGCATCGAAAATCCATTTGCCTCCACGAAGACAAATTTCTCACAATACTTGATCCAGGAGTTACCTTGTCTTCTGAATTGGGTTCAAAATCACAAGGTTACGGAGCTGAACATTGGTATAGCCGTAAATTTAATATTGGAGTCAGCTGTTCAACGAAGGTCATAAAAATTGAATGCTATTTTAAGATGCATGTAAAATTAAGTGACGATTATTTCATTTATAAGCAGATAAACTCGTTGTATTAATAATTATAATTGGTTTAATAAAGGAGTTTAAACTTTTTAATCCTTTCAAATACTTTAAAACTTATCGTAAAGTTTAATATTTTAATTAAAAAACTGTTCTAACTTGTTCTTCTGATTTAGGAAAATGAACTAAACAATTTTTTTAAAAAATTAATATGATGAGCCAACTTTTGCTCAACTCAAAATGAATTGTTTATTGTCAAAACGAATTGTCTTGATATTCACAGATTATTCAAAAAGTTGAAACTACTAATTAATAAAGCAAAACTACTTGAACAAGGTACGAATAAAGGTACAGGAAAAGGACATTCCATAGTTTTGGTTCTATAAACTAGAATTTTATTCAGTGTCAGAAAACCTTTACCTTTAGTCGTTACCTTGTTGAAAACCTTTCCTCTATCTTTATTTGTAATTTAGTCACTTTTATTCAGGCTTTATTCATGCGTTGCATAAAGTATATCCTACATTTATTCGAAGGGTTTGTTACAAAATTATGATAGACCACATTTTCAATCAATTTGTTCAAGTGAGCGTTTTTTTGTAAAAATTAAATAAGTAATAAAATAAAATAAATGAATATATTTAAGTAAATAAATAAAAAACACAATGATTCAAATGCTGGCAATAAGATGTTTCTACTGCAGCTTACAAATGAAGATTCTGTAAGTCTGTAAAGTAACTATCCGGATATAATGCTAAGAATTAGTTCGATATAAGATTTCACATTTGAAAAAGTTTGTCTCTTTATAACATTGCCCCAAGTACTCTGAGATATTCGTTATTGCTGATATTCGTTAATTTTCTTGAATAACTTTTAATGTTTTATTAATATTAATTAATATTAATTAATAGTATTACAGTATTTCATGTCAACCGAAAAAAAAATGTTTTCCTTTTTCATCTGGGACACTATGCATAAAATTATAAATGTATTTCAGCGTGAATGTTATATAAACGAACCATAACTATTTTCATAATTTCAACTGAAAAATATATTCAAAGAAATCCCTGGTTGCTATTTAGCATTAATTAATAAACTAATTTCCAAATGAATTTTTTTCTTCATATAAATATAAAAATGTTTGTGACAATAATTACACTTAAATTTTACTAATTATTTATCTGATAATAATAATAATAATTTTTTTTTTGCTTGTAAAATTTAGGAATTCTGTTATTTTTCTCCTTTTATGTGAGTATTTTATTATAAAAATGAAATTTTAAGCTGTACTAAAAAAAGAAATTGAGTAATTCAACATTTAAAATTTTTCAAGAAGGAAGAAAATCATTCACTTGAAATCAATGAAAATGAATTGATAATTGTTTGATAAGAAAGTATTTGGAAAAATAACAATGCTTGATTTTTCTTTTCTAAGATGAACAAAATAGTAATCACTGCTTAAATCTTAATGAATATTAGAATTTAAGGTGAAAAATAGTTTGAAATATTTTTATTAATTATTTTATAATTATTATATTGACAATCATTTTTTTAAAAATATTTTCTATTCAAGTCATCTAACACATTCCCAATGCCAATTCTAGGAGTAGCATTTTTAACAAAAAATGTTATGCATGCTTCCAGAACATAGTAAAATATACCGTGTTTTTTTAGTCTATGGGAACACCAAGAAAGCTTGGTAATTTTTAGTGATGTAATTTGGTAATGAATTTGGTGAAATTATCAATAAAATAAGTTTCCTTAATGTATGACAATATTTGTAAATTGTTGTAACTTTATCATCCCTTAGATTAAGTCATAAAAGCCATTCATTCGGTTAAATTCACTTTTTCAATTTTGTATTTTTTACAATATAAATGTGTGGTTATATTACAATTTTGAAAAACCAGAATTTTCTGACGATTGTTCCACATAAACGGAAAAATTACCAAACGAATGGTTAAAATAACATTCAAAGAATAAAGTTTCAAAATTTATAAACCAAATTTTTTTTTCTTCTAAATTTGAAATCTTATTATATTACTGCACACTAATTTTACCAAATTTTTTTCTTTCTGTAAAATTATAATTTTTAAATTTCAACCTAAAAATTCCTAGCTTTGTAGCTTAATTTTGAACAACATGAACTAATGAATTTAAAATCAAAAGCATTAATTTTATTTCAAATTACATTTTTAAAGGCGTAAATTGTTATTCGTAAAATGAAGCATCAAATCTTCATCTAAGTGTTGCATTGAATAACTGATTCAGTTTAGAGGTGACAGAATTAATGCAAATGTCCTTGTTGTTAAACTTAATAATTATTTACAAAAGTTTGTATTAATTATACAAGATGTGAGCAGATAGAAAATATAAAAGAGCAAGCAGATATTAATTTAAAGTAAGTTGAAACACAAATCTGAATCAACTTTTTTTTCATTAGATAAGCATAAACTAGTCAGAAAACCAAATTAGTAGCTTCAATGCTACGAGCAACTACCATATAAACAAGCACAAAACCACGTTACATTCTGTATTTTGGAGCTGAAGAGTTGGAAAAACAATTTTTACTTAACATCTTTAAAATTCAGTAGGTTTTCTTAATGCTCGTAGACCAGCGGTTCTCAAATGATGTTCCGCGTAACAAAAGAGTTCCGTGAACGAGTCACGGGGCTCCGAGAGTTAGGACTTTTTTTAAAAATCAGTTGTAATTTTCGATACCAGTAATTAAATTTATATCCAATTAAAAATCCATTATTAGTTTAATATCTCTATTATTTTTGTGAAATTATTTAATTAAATGTTTGTGAATAAACAATATTCAAAACAATTCTTTTTCTAATAACAATATAATGAATGAATTCTGAAAAGGATATACATTTATTAAAAATTGCATTAGTATTTCGCATCGAATTCAACAAAGAAGTATGTTTCCCTAATAAACAATCCCAACGTTTATTTTAGTCCTTTC